CCGGGCCCTCGGGCAGTGCCCGAGTGCTCGAATGGTCAGTCCGCCCCTGGACGTAACTACAGATTGTGGTGCTCTAGAGCAAAATTTTGATGGAGGCCCCCCCTTTATGTTATCAGAAAGCAGCAGGTAGCAAGAGAGCTATCCATATAGTACACTACTATGAAACAGAGGTGTGGACTGAATTTGTCGATGAAGAGGGGGTGTAGCAATGTACAGAAATCACTTTTAACCTGATTTTTTCAGCTAATTGCACTGTACTCAGTACCTCCCCAGTTTTTTTTTTCGGCATCTCAGGAGTCAATGTAAGGTCCCATTCACACTATGGCATTTTGAATCGCGGGCAGAATGCAGCGATAAACTCCTTTTGGGCGGTTTACCGCATTTAAAAATATATATAAACACCACAAAGTGCAAAAAAATATATAATAAATTAAATAAAAATTATATATGCATATAACAAAAGTCCAGAAGAAAGTCCCCCCAAAAAATATAAAATCCTGAAATAGTGCTCAAAGAAGTCTTCAAAGTGGCCACACCATCCAGGGATTGTTTTGGAGTACATAAAGTACAGACACATCTGGGGAGGATGAACCCCATATTTTTAGCCTGTTTGACTATTTTGCCATACCACCTAAGAGTCCACTCCATTTGGTGAGTGGGGATCAGATTGTCAATCACGGATGGTGTGGGCACTTTGATGATTTCTTTGTGCACTATTTCGGATTGGAGCACATTTCTATTTTTTGGGAGGACTTTCCTTTGGACTTTTGTTATATGCATTTATAATTTTTATTGAATTTATTATATATTTTTTTGTGCTGTGTGGTGTTTATATATATATTTGTTTTGAAAAGGTGGTGTAGCAGTCAATAAGATAAAAATAGTTTTGTAGTAGCAATAATATTGACCATCAAAGTATTTTAGTATTATGAAAAAAATATTAGTACTCCTGAACTGATATATTCTATAACCTTAGTCCAAACTTTAATAAAATGTGTTTTTTTGCAGAAATACAAACAGCTGTCAGCCTAAGAGATGCTCTTCTTTTGTTACAACCCAAGGAAGGCCATGTCAAGCATACAAGATAAAATTCAGTTCTGGCCAACATGACCAGAAGCCATGAGAGGAACAAATCTACACTACAAAGAAACAAAACAAATTCCCTTTACCGTACAGCTTGCAAAGGGAATCTGTGATTAGCGCCAATGATTCAGAAGTTTCCTAATGTGTAATCTGATGTCAGCTTTTCCTGATTGGAAATGTTACGGGGGGCTACAGGTTCAGTGTCAACAGCAACCTCAATCATTAATACAGTGATGGGTTTGGGTTTGTTATTTAAATGTGCAAATATTTTCTATGTTTAAATTGCCTTAACAGCACCCCTAATAGTTCCTCCTTTTAATCCCATCCCATGGCTGTTGCTGCACCACTGCATAGTATGTACTATAAAATTAAGCATTTCTTTACAAAGGTATACAATTTTCTTTGGGGCAGGAGTTCAACTTTAAATGTGCAAAGAGATGGTTAACTCTACATACTCTTACATGTGAAGGGTGTAGAACAAAGTGAAAAGTAAAAAGAACTGTTGGAGCGCATACCTTAAAAAATAGGTCTGTAGTCTGGCCATGGACAATCAAGTACTTTACTATTTTTAAAGTGGAGCTCCACCCAAAAGAGGAAGTTCCACTTTAAGGACTGGTCCCCCACTCCCTACAGTTTTTGTAGATGCTGACTTTTATTTTTTTTATTTTCACTGGAACTCTGATTTAATAAATAATAAATTAGCTTTAAAGCAAGCCTTCATTGGCCTCTATTGCTGCAGGCACAGTGGAAAAATTAATCCTCAAATTTAACAGCAAAAGCACTGAAGTCATTCAAGTCGGCTCTCTCAGCAGCTCAGCTCACTGTGGCTCAGGCTGCTTTACTTTTCAGCATGTCCTGGCTGTCAATTGCCCAGTAAGAGCAGACAGAGGAGCAGCAGCAGAGGGAGAGGGACAAGTCCTGTTACATCTGTTCTGTGTACTTTGATAACATTTTTTTGGCATATGTAGCACACCAAATATAAAAAAATGCTTGGGGAAAAATTGAGCATGGGTATTAATGGCCATTACTTTAAGAGACAGCAGTTCTTACTTTTTGCTCTAGGGAACCACTGGGAGTGTAAGATCCTGGACATATCAGAGTGGAATGATGGCTTTGTTCACATTAGTAAAATACCACATTAGTTTTTGTCTCACGAAATAAAAACATAAAAATATTAATTAAACATCCTTTTCAATAAAAAAAAATAATCATATGTTAAATAAGTAATTTATAGGGACAGCTTGACCTCATGTATTGCTAAAGTGTACGGGTAAAAAATATATTAGGAGAAGATGATCTGGCATGAGTTAAGCAACTTATGGGTTGAGCCTGATGGGCTGAGTCATCTTCTGATTTTCTATTTATTGGATACCCTCAACATATCCACTGCTTTGATACTTAATTTCTGTAAACCTAAAAGCTCTCAAGAGATTTAAAAAAATATATATGGTTTAGTGCCCCAATATCTATCAAAATATTAGTTTCTGGTGGGCTTCATCTTAGACTGTATTTATGGCACAGATTGCTTGAAAATTGATAGCTAGTTTGATGTTAACTACTCCATCATTTAACAAACATTTTTTGTGTGTTTAAACAGTTATTCTAAGAAATGTAAAAAAAACCTAGAAAGTACCTAAAACAATCTCTTAAATATAATTCAACAATAGAACCTTGGATGGAACATTTTATTTTGGTAAGCAGTGCTTTTAGCCATCCCAGTACTGTAGATCAGAAGGGGGTGGCTACAAGCACATAATTTTCAAGGGTGTCAGTTGTCCTCCAACTGAAAACAAGGCATGTAAATACAGTATATTGTTGAATGGTCTTTATTCTTCTACCTATTTCCCCCCAGTTGTCCCGTTAATATTCCCCTGCAATCACCCCCTAGGGTAATCTGGGGTGCGGACCTTTAGTAACCATACCTCCCAACTAACTGTCCCTGATTTTGAGGGACTGTCAATGATTTAGATCAAAGTCCCTCTTTCCTCCTCATTTGTCCCTCATTTTGGTCTGATCTATATAGTTGTAAATAAAATTAACTATTTATTTTTCAAAAAATGATTCCACATGCTAAACCTTTCATTCCATTTCTAAATTACTGCATTTGTAAACTCTAAAAGCCAGTATAAAGGAATAGCATTGGTAAAAAAAAAGCACTTGTAAGTTTTAACAACCTTTTTTTTTTTGTCTTGTATAATTCTTCTTTTTAGGGGGGTGTGGCAAGGGTGTATGTCCAATGTTTACATACATCTGCTAATAGAAGTCCCTCATTCCCATCTCAAAAAGTTGGGTGGTATGAGTAACTAATTTTAATGGTTTTAGTGATGCTTCCAGTGAGTACTAATAAAATGTGGAATATACAGGACTGTTAATATCTGAAGCACATTGATATATTTTATGTATTTTATTTAAGAAATGTTTATTCCATGTTTCTACAGATTGTTGTTCTCCCTTTCTCTTGAAGAAGCAGGGAATCTCACAAAATATGTAGAGAAACTTTGTATTCCTATAATTCTAACAACGGCTAAACGTTTACACTAATTGAGGCCTCGCAGGCTTGATTGAACACACATGATATAAAACATTGTTCAGGGGTATCCATTATTAGAAGAGAGGTATGGTCAAAGCTCTTTTGGCCATACTTTTCTTATGGATCACAAAAGTGCACACCTGCCTGCAATCCTGTGAACCAACAGCAAACTATGTTTTGGGTTTTTTAACAAAAAAAATTCTCTTTTAAGGAGGGCTTACAATTGCAATTTTTATGTGTGTATATTTAAAATAAAATGTGTAATGTTTCTTTAATATATTGGTGTAATCTGTGGGTACTACAAAAGTCTATATACACAGATAGATTACTATTTGATGGTTTTCAATATATTTGGGATGTGGTACTGTTATTCACTTGGCCACCAAACTATCCAACATCATAGGTAATGTCAACTTTTTTTTATAGGTTGTATTTAATTGTTTTAATGTCCCCTCATTATAATAATATCCAGCCTTTGTAACATCATAAGCTACAGATCATTTTTCTTTGGTGAACAAAAAAATTGAAGGAAAAGTATTTGGTTAATTTAAAACTGAACATATTAAAGGTTTTTAAAGCATCAAAGTGACACCACGATAGCTCTGAGACACATGGGTTTCTATACTTACTCAATCTGCAAAGAACATGTAATTAAATTAAGCAGATTCATTAAAAATTGACCCAAGGGCCAAACTAAATGACAATTTTGGCGATGCAATAAAAGGGTTTAAGAGCCATTTAGATAAAGCCTTTCCATAGTTTAGCGTTTTGTCAACATTTAAGCCCAGTTAAGGTACATTTATTGAATGGAAAGAATATTGTATTTTCAGTAAACATACAGTATTTTAAATTAGCATTGAATTGTTCACCTAAGTAATTTTTTTATGTGCATTTTACTTTTTGACATTCTCCCTTCTTCATTATTGGATTTTCCTATTGAAGTGATCCCGTCATTGCACAAAAGTACTTAAACAGAAAAACACAAAAGCTGGTGCAAACAAGGATACCAGAAACACCCAGGCTTCCAATAGGTAATAAAAATCAATAATGAAAATGTATAAGGGACAGTTCCAGGACAAGATCATCCAGGAACCAGGGCAAAGAAGCCAAATTGCGACCCCCCCCCCCCCCTTCCACACACACACACACTTCATTATGTGCAGCAGTCATCTGTTTGTCAAAATGCCCTGCATCAGAATGACCTCACTGGCTCCCCAATCCTTGCAGTAAACCACTGTGCCCTGATAAAGGATATACACAAGATGGTATATGGTTAATGCCATAATACATACACTATATTGCCAAAAGTATTGGGACACCACTCCAAATCATTAGATTCAGGTGTTCCAATCACCACCATAAACACAGGTGTATAAAATCAAGCACGTAAGCATGCAGACTGTTTCTACAAACATTTGTGAAATAATGGGTCGCTCTCAGGAGCTCAGTGAATTCACGCGTGGGTACCATGATAGGTTGCCACCTGTGCAATAAGTCCATCCGTAAAATTTCCTTGCTACTAAATGTTCCACGTTCAACTGTTAGTAGTATTATAACAAAGTGGAAGCAACAGCAACTCAGCCACGAAGTGGTAGGCTATGAAAAATGAGAGAGCAAAGCCAGCGCAGTGCGCAGAAGTTGCCAACTGTCTGCAAAGTCAATACTTAAAAACTTTTTGTGGCCTTCAAATTAGCAAAACAAAAGTGCATAGAGAGCTTCATGGAATGGGTTTCCATTGTCGAACAGCTGCATCCAAGCCTTACATCACCAAGTGCAATGCAAAGTGTCGGATGCAGTGGTGTAACGCACGCTGCCACTGGACTCTGGAGTGACGAATCATGCTTCTCTGTCTGGCAATTTAATGACTGTGTCTGGGTTTGATGGTTGCCAGGAGAACGGTACTTGCCTGACTGCATTGTGGAAAGTGGAAAGTTTGGAGAAGGGAGGATGATGGTGTGGGGTTGTTTTTCAGGGGTTGGGCTTGGCAACTTAGTTACAGTGAAGGGAACACCTAAGGAATCAGCATGCCAAGACATGTTGAATAATTTCATGCTCCCAACTTTGTGGGAACAGTTTGGGGATGGCCCCTTCCAGTTCCAACATGAATGCACACCAGTGCACAAAGCAAGGTCCATAAAGACATGGATGAGCAAGTTTGGGGTTGAGGAACTTGACTAACGTACATAGAATCCTGACCTCAACCCGACAGAACACCTTTGGGATGAATTAGAGCAGAGACTGTGAACCAGGCCTTCTCGTCCGACATCAGTGCATGACCTCGCTCTTCTGGAAGAATGGTCAACTATTTCCATAGACACACTCCAAAACCTTCTGAACAGCCTTCTCAGAAGAGTTTAATCTGTTATAGCTGCATAGGGTGGGCCAACTCAATATTAAACCCTACGGGCTAAAACTGGGAATTCCATTAAAATTCATCTGTGTGTAAAGGCAGGCGTCCCGATATTTTTGGCAATATAGTGTATATTAGAGTCCACAGTGTCATAGTAGTGAAGGGTTTAACTGCTTAAATGACTGCTCCTCCAAGAGATAAGGGGGATCTCTGTAATGGCAATACAAAACAACAGGGGATGCCTTCTAAGTGCAGCATTAATGAACTTTATTAGGGCAATGGCAATTAGCAACTCATGAATATCTGGAAGGTAAGTGCTCATCAAAAAGACTGTTGTGAAGCCAGGGACCCATGCTGGTGGGGATCTCCAGGATAGGAAAGTCCTTTAGCCATCAGTTGTGGATGAACCCGCTCTGCAGCCCGGACCAGGAAACACTGCGGAACACACGGAAGTGATGTCACATCAGGGGAGGACCAGCAGCTGGGGGGCATGTTAACGCTCAAGCTCCTTTCTCAAACCTTGCTATGGGACCCTAGATTCACAGAAATCTTTTTGGTCGGCACATATCTTTCAGTTATATGTGACCTTCCCTTAATAAAGTTCATTTATGCTGCACTTAGAAGTTGCCCGCTGATGTTTTGTGTTTCCACAGTGTAAACAGTGTACCTGCAAAACAAGAGCAAGAATTCTTACCATTCTTGCTGTCTGTGTTGCCAGACCACCACTTACCTTAGTAGAAATCCTCCTCTGAAGTATGAAGGGAATGCCACACTTCTGGAAGTATCAGTTGCACGTTTCCTGCAGCTCTCATTTTTTCCTCCCTTTTATCTTCACCCATTGCAAAATACAGTAGTGACATGGATATCAGAAATTGGAACCATTAGCAGCAGTGAATCCAGGAGATAATCGCTCCTGGAATTGTTGTTTTCAGAATGGATTACGCAGAAGATTTTTCAGCATTCAAGCTGAGTTCAGCAGGAATAGTCTGTAGTAGCATTTTTTACAGGCATGTATATTATATATAGTGACAGAGAACTTTAATATAATAAATATTATCTTTCCATTTCAATCTATAACCAAGTATGACCTTCAAAAATTACCAAACAATTTAGACTTTGCTACATTGTAGCCATGGTAACAGTAATCTGTGTACAAAAAAAACAGAAATCTTATTCCTTGCTCATTTGAATGTCTCACAGCATAGAGCTTAAAACATTTTAAATCTTCCTAGCATAGTGCTTCTGCTGTTAGCCTTTCATCTTTGCTAATATATGGGCCATACTCCAGGCTCCATACTCCAGATGAGCCCAGATTTGTTCCAACTTTTACATGACATCTTTGAGGGCTGCAGCCATTTTTTATTTTACTAAGAACCAAGTAATTTTTTGCTCAATTTATGTGATCGTTGGGTTAAAGGACCATCAAGCTTTAGCTGATACCTGTTTGGCTGCAGTTACCAAAAATATTGGGAAGCGAAAATGTATTTGTATATTTCGCTAGTTTCAGATTCAGCAGTGCTTCCTTAGGCATCTTCCAGATACCGTTGCCCTAGACAGTATAGACTAGTTGATATATATTGGTCTAGAATTTCCTTATTTTGTGCCATTCTCACCAAATATGTATGAGAGTGCCAGGGAATTGGCATCCCCACAAGCACTTATCAGAGAGGAAGTGTGAATAAATATAAATTTTACCAGTCATTGCGGGACAATTTGCCACTGTATTACCATTTTGTAGTTGGATTCTTTTGCAGACACATTGATGAAAAAGTGGGTTTGCCAAATTTGTTTCCAATGCTCCTGCTCTATACCACTCCCTAGGTCTTTTTACCATCATTCCATATATGGAAGGGTTTTCAGCGGTTGTCCTCCCAACTAGCTAGTCTTTTAGAAGAAAAGAAAGGAAGCAGCAGACTTAGCTAACCTCAGAGTTTTTGAACAAGCTGCAAAGGAAGATGAAGTCATCCATTGCCCTATTTTGACAGCCTCCAATGACCCTGGAGGATGGAGCTTGAAATTCATCCTAACCCAGAACACTGAGCAAACAATTGCACTAGACACTTTAAACCCTGTACACCACCCCACAGTACATAAGAAAGCACCCACATAAGTCATCCTGACTTGTTGCATACAGTTGTGCTCAAAAGTTTGCATACTCTTGGAGAATTGAATTGGTAATATACATTATGTACCATTTTTAAGAAAGCATGAGTGAGCAGGCAAAACACATTTCTTTCATTTCCTATGGGATTCATTCAACTGTAGGTCATAGTAGAATCATAAAACAAAACATGGTAAAACAAAAGTAAAACAAATGAAATGATCCCTGTTCAAAAGTCTGCATACTCTTAGTTCCTAATACTGGGTATTGCCCCCTTTAGCATCAATGACAGCATGCAGTCTTTTGTAATAGTTGTCTATGAGGCCCAAAATTCTTGCAGCTGGTATAGCTGCCCATTCGTTTTGCAAAATTCCTCCAAAGTCTTTGGTTTACTTGCGTGAACCACACGTTTGAGAGTGGTTTGATGATACTAAGGTCAGGAGACTGTGATGGCCGTTCCAGAACCTTCTCCTTTTTCTGCTGGAGGGTCAACCTAACCTTGTGGTTAGGGTAATTGCTGGAAAGTCCAACATGAGTCCCATGAGCAGCTTTTGTGCAGAAGACTGCAAATTATCTTCCAGTATTTTTTGATAACATGCTGCATTCATATTGCCATCACATCATTTTCATAAGATTCCCTGTGCCTTTTAGAGCTCACACACACCCAAAACATCAATAAGCCACCACCATGCTTCACAGTTGGGATGGTATTCTTGTCGCTGTAGGCCTTGCTGACCCCTCTCCAAACACAGCGCTTCACCACTCCAGATCACAGTGTGCCAGAAGCTGTGAGGCATGCCAAGGTGTTGTTGGGCATATTGTAACTGGGGTTTTTTGTGGCATTGGCACAGTAAAGGCTTCTGTGTGGCAACTCGACCATGCAGCTCATTTTTGTTCAAGTATTGTCATATTGTGCCACTAGAAAAAAACCACACCATCTTTTTTTTCCAGCCTGTATTTCCCCTGAGGTTATCAGCGGAACACAGATTGCTGTACGGGACCTCTGTGTGAGGTCCCGATTCATGTGATCACTGAATCATGTGATCACTGAATCAGTGATCACATGAATAGTAGTAAACAAGATGTATCTTCCTGACATCATTGCTTACTACTTGTGAAATCTGTGAATGATCACAGAGGTCACATGGTACAAGGCTATTCACAACAGCCTTGTACCATATGACAAGCTGTGACCAATCACAGCTCTCACAGTATTTCTCAATGGCTGCAGGAATGCAGCCAGAGATAAGGAAAAATGATTGCTTTTACAGCCTTTATGGGTGTAAAAGCAACCAGTGTAAAAAAAAAAGAAAAACAAATCTTCATCCCCCCCCCCCCCCCACACACACACACACAAGTAGTACAGTGTCACTATGGTGACACTGTACTGCTAGGGTGACAGTATGTTAAAAAAACATAAATAATAATATAAGAAAATAAAATAAAAATGTAAAAACATTTTTTGAATAATTATAATTTTTGGTTATAAACTAATTTTGGGTTATTTTCTTTTACTAAAAAGATAGATAAATACATTTTGGTCAATATTTATGAAGAAAGATTATTTATTTGAAAAAAATTTTATAAGAAAAAAACTTTTTTTTCAAAATTTTTAGACTTTTTCATTTATATAGCAAAAAAATAAAAATCCCAGTGGTGAATAAATACCACCAAAATAAAGTTTTATCTGTCTTACAAAAAATGCTAAAAAATTCATATGGGTACAGTGTTGCATGACCGCGCAATTGTCATTCAAAGTGTGATATCACCGAAAACTGAAAATTGTCCTGGACTGGAAGGGGGTGAAAGTGTCCAGACATGAAGTGGTTAAAAGGGAGAAAACAAAAGTCTATCCAGGACTCCCATGCAGGAGTTTCAACTTCAGTCAGCAAACACAAATGAAAAATAACGAGCCACCTGGTTTTCTGGTCAGCAGTTCCTCTGCTTCTTTTGTTCTCCCAGAACACTTGCTATTCAGGCTCTCTCTCGGCCTAGGTGACAGCACCTTACTGTTCAGACCCGCATGGCCTCTTGACAGGGTTTCCCAGTATCTCCAGCTTGCACCCACCAGAGACTTCCGTATTCTCTCTCAGTCCCCTGGACTCGCTGGCCTCTGCAGCTTCCTCAGCCTCCCAGACCCTCTCTTGGTCTCCCAGACTCTTGGAGCTGGCCAGACCTTTTCCAGTCCTTGGGCCCAGAATCCCTCTCACACAGGTTGTAGTCCTCAACAGTGGTTCCCAGCTCTCCTGACAAGGCTTTGTCTTCAAACCGCACCAACTGCTATTGCTATTCCACCTCCACTCACCTTCTACTGCTGTCATAAGCACATTGTTATAAGGGCTGTGTGCACCTGGGCGCACACCCTGCTGGTTGTTCACAACACCCGGACACTGGGTTGGAGATTCTGTCCCACAATTCTGAATCTCCAATCTACAGGGCCCCGTCCGGTAATACCAAGATCTGGTGAAAGCTGTAAAAG